TCATTGTTGTTTGGCGGGTCCGGGCTGGGGATTCGAACCCGTCACCTTAGGTGTACATGGCTGGCGCCTTAGCCGGTTGAGCTATAGGAGCCGAGCCACAGTGGTTTTCTAAGTTACAGAGTGCTAACATGATATACACTTGCAGCTTAAGCCACTAAGAATAAGTTGAAGAAGAAATTTTGCCAAAGCAAAACTAACATAGTGTATCTTCAAGATAACACTTTCATGTTATTCACCAGCCAACTGGTTTAAAAGTCAGCACAGTGCTGCCTGTAACTATCACCACCTTTCTGCACCTGTAAGCAGTGGTCAGGAACAGAGGTCTTCCCTCGAGTCTCCCAGGTCTACATGAAGTAAACCAGAGGTTAGCAGAGATTTTCTATAAAAAGCCAGATGGTAAAATGCTTAATCTTGCAGGCCACAGAGTCTCTATTGAAGCCACTCAACTCTTTTCTTGCCGCATGACAGCCCCAGGGATAGCGTGTGAATGGATGTGGCTATGCTGAGGTGGGCTGAATCTGCTCTGCAGACTGAATCTGCCAAAGACCAGTGTAAACATCTAGTGCAGAGGTCCTCAAACTTTTTAAATATGGGGCCAGTCCACTGTCCCGCAGACTGTTGGAGGGCCAGACTGCAGGCCCAGGACTAGTCGGCTGCTAAGCAGGATAGGCAACGGCGGTAAAAACATCCAGCAGGCCAGATAAATGTCCTCAGCAGGCCGCATGTGGCCCACGGGACGTAGTTTGAAGACCCCTGATCTAGTGTAAAAGGGTACCAAACAATCCCTTAAACACATTCCAAAATTTCAAATGGTGAACAGGAAATACCAGACAGGTCAGTACAGCTTGACTTTCTAAGGCAATATCACAGGACGTATAGTTTCCTAGTCAGTGGCTCAATACACTGATTTTCCGACATATCACCAGAACCCAACAATCATTTACCTGTGCATAGTCTCTGAAAGGTAGGGAGTAAGCAGTGCACTTTTCCAGCAAGTGCTGAGATTCACTTCCCTGAGAGATTGCGTCCAGAATGGTGTTTGCAATTCCAGCCTTCTGAAGAGCAGTTTTACTTGCAGAGGCTAAAAGCAAAATCAATATGCTTATTTTACTTAGGCCATTTTATTACAAACTGAGTGCAAAACTCATTAACTCAGCATATTTGCAAATAAACACTAAAAAAAATTTAGATGGCTAATGTATATCTATATTTTCCCCAGGGGAAAAGGTATATATTATATGATATTGTCTCATTCATTTGAAACCACAGAAAATGAACACACATCCTATGAGTAAATAATTTTGATAGAAACATTTCGAGTAATATATGTCTAATATTTAAAACAAGGCATATGAAATGTAAATGGACCATTCTTGTGAATGTCATAGTTGTCACCATCGATTTTTAGACCAGATCAATATATGTATAATAGATATACATTACAGACATATTTGAATTTTTTTTCTGGCTCTTAAAAAACTCACAAATTAATGTTTGGGTTCAAGGATATTTCATCAAATAGAGGATGTATATCAAAAATGAAACTCAGCCAGGCAGGGTGGCTCACCCTATACTCCTAGCACTTTGGGAGGCCGAGGTGGGAGGACTGCTTAAGGGCAAGAGTTCTAGACCAGACTGGCACACAGTGAGACTCTGTCTCCACAAAAGATAGAAAAATTAGTGGGGCATGGTGGTGTGATACCTGCTGCCCCAGCTACTGGGGAGGCTGAGGCAGGAGGATGATATGAACCCATAAGTTTGAGGTTGCCCAGAGCTATGATGATGCCACAGCACTCCAGCCTGGGCAACCCTGTCTCAAGGGGGAAAAATAATTTACCTTTCATATCTTTTCATTTAACCCTATAATCTTTTCCCCATAGGTAATGATCTAGAATTCATTTTCTCCAATTTACTTCATGCTTTTATACTCAAATATGTACATGTGAGAACACACAGCTTTAAGTAAATATATATGGAATTATTTGTTATGTACACATTTGCTTTTCTACTTAAAAATATGCTTTAGAGATCATTTAATATTAGTACACACAGATATCTCTTGATTATAAAAATAAGTTACAAAGTATTTCATTTTATGATAAACTATTCTATTTATTTGTTTAGAGCCATCTCCTGCTGACAAACACCAGTTATTTCCCAGGACGTCATTCCTGATACCAGCATTCCAGTGGATGGCAGGGCTACAGCACATCCGTGTCTGATGATTTTCAGTAAGTGACGGCCTGATGGGTCCTCCAAAAAGTAAGCGAGAATTCCATTTCTGGCCATTATTAGTAGCTGACACATTTTTTGGGTATCCAAATATGATGGCTATATTGCTTATCAGTTCACACCTCTGGTTTAGAAAAATGATCCTGTATGCATTATAAAGCATTACAGTATTGCCAAATAATTCCTCTGTAAAATTATTTTCAATCATGACTCAATAACAATTCAATAAATTAAGTTCTAAATAAAAATACTATAAGAGTTATCTTCCTTATAGCAGAATTTTAAGTGCCTTAATTTCAATTATTTCTTCAATTTAAAGAATACTTTAGGCCTTAATTTGGCCAATAGTCATTATTTGCTTCCAGTAAGTTAAAAATTAAAGTAAAATTCATTATAGAAAGTATTCAGTAAAACTTCAAATTATTAACCCTGATCCCTCACTTACGTGGTAAACACGCACTGGGCAGCACGCTTGCCAAGTCCAGATACGGGTTCTTACTGAGCCGAATCTCTTTTGGAGGTTCTCCCAAGAGTGAAGTCTGATTCTTAGAGGCAGCCTGTTCACCAAAAATAGAAAAAGGGGTGTTTAGTAAGTGGTACAAGAAAATCAAAATGCAGAAGGTGCACAGAAATATTTATTTTTCAAAATTTAATCTAGTGAGATAAAAATTTATGAAACCTAATCTTCATTAAGCTAAAAAAAAAAAAAAAACTATTCTAGAACCACAGGATTTTGGAACTGAAAGAGAATTAAAGGCTGTCTGGTACAACACAGTCCCTTGGACTAGGAAAGAATTCATCTTCACCAGAAAAAACAAATTCTGTAACTCATTTCCAAAAATACTGTTATCAACATTTTTATTAGGGTTTTTATTTTATATTTTATGGGCACAACCAAAAGACAAAAGCAGACCTTATCTACCCCTGGTAAAATACCAAACTAAATCTGCACCCTTCACAGGTTCCCACTCCACGTCCAGATGATAAATGCTGCAAATTCACATTTCTTGAAAATATATGACAAAATTTACCATGTCAGTATACATATAAATATATATATATATATATTTTTTTTTTTTTTTTTTTAGAGACAGTCTCATGTTTTTGCCCTCGGTAGAATGCCGTGGCATCACAGCTCACAGCAACCTCCAACTCCTGGGCTTAAGCGATTCTCTTGCCTCAGCCTCCTGAGTAACTGGGACTACAGGCGCCCGCCACAACACCAGCTATTTTATTTGCTGCAGTTTGGCCAGGGCTGGGTTCGAACCCACCACCCTCAGTATATGGGGCCAGTGCCCTACCCACTGAACCACAGGCACCACCCCCTGATGTCAGTATATTTTTATGCAAATAGGTACAAGGGTTCCAGGACAGCTGACCCCTGAACAACATGCAGGCAAGGGGCACTGCCCCCCAGCATGGTGGGAAACCCATGTGTACTTTTGGCTACCCCAAATCTTTACTACTAACAGCCTGCAGTTGGCTAGAAGACTCACTAATATATAAGTGGTCAGTTAACACACAGAACCCCCATAAGCTGACCACCCGGACTGTAACAAAGGGTTAGCCCATGGAGGAACTATGGCACTGACACGCACCTGTGGGTCCTTCATGTCCATGAAACACAGGTCAACTTAAGGAGGTGGTCAGTGTAGGGAGGTGGTCAGCATGGAGGTCCCACTGTTTCTGCATATTACATGTTACCATATACTGTATTCTTACAGTAAACTAGAGAAGTTACTAAGAAAATCACTAGGAAAACACATTTATAGTACTGTTCTGTATTTATCAAAACTGTGAGTTTTCTTTGTCTAGTTTGAATTATCTGAAGTGGCAGTTCCTACAGCTGCAGACCTCAGCCTACCACACGTGTCCAGCAGTTCAGCTTCTTCCTGTGACATCATGAATTCTCTCTGCATCTAGGGGGCACAACTAGCTTCACTAGTGGCACCCTGTGTGAGTCTCTTGGTATAATTCAAGGCAGTATCACACTAAACACAATGAAAAACTTGTACTATTTATAAGAACTCCAAGAGATGACTTTTTATTGTGATAAGCAATTTATAGAAGAAAGGGAGTGCTCGGGCAGAGATAAGCAGCACACAGCATGTTAGCAACATGTGAGCTCGTGGCAAGGGCACAGGTGGCTGTGAATTATGACAGGGGCAGAGTTCACCAGAGTTAATCTCATGCAGTTATGCAGAAAAATTTTAACCTTCCAGAATAGGTATTCTGCCATGAAAAGTGTGCCTTTGTGTATAATGCACACCTACGTTTTTGGCCCAAACTTTCAGAAAAATGCCCCTTGGGGAAGTAGCCAGCTCTTGCTGGGAGAGACACATCTGGGGAGGGCCCCTGGTGAATGTGCAGATGGCACTGCCCTCCGGCAGCCACCCACTCAGTGAAGGCTGCCCCTTCTCTCCCCCTGCCCCCACCACATCACACCTGCAGCAGAAATGGTGCACAGCCAGGCACCCCCCACGGACCTGCACAGGATCCCCCATCCCCACTTGTGGCCTCAGGCCCCTTGGCCCTCACTCCACATGCCCATGGCCCACCTTGCCAGCCCTGCCAGCTGCTGCCCCCATCCCAGCGCTCTTCAGAGGCTGCTCCAGCCTGCTCCCCACCTACATTAGGGTCCTCCTGGAGCCCTGTGCCCCAGCAGACCCAAGTGTGGGGGGCAGTGACCTTGTGAGGCCCACTGGGCTCTCCGACTCGCTAGCCCTACGGTAGTACATACATAATGGGCATCTTTATTTTTCCCTCAAAATTTTGGGCAAAAATGTACATATTATACACTGCAAAATACAGTATTTTATGGTAGTCAATGGTAAAATATACTAGTATCTGTGCATATTTTATGCATTCATGACACACATCTAACATTTTCTTAACTTTTTTGCTATGTCTAGGCTACACAATTTGCTTGCAAGTTTTTTCTAATTGTTGCAAATCTCAAAAATTTACTTACGTATTTACTGAAAAAAATCTGCATACAAGTGGACCTATGCAGGTCTATTCAGTATGATGGTTTTGGCAGATAGAGCCTGTGGGAGATCACAAAGGTGGGGGCCTCATGAATGGGTCAGTGCTCTTACAAGCAGCCTGGGGCACTCGCTTCTGCTCCCCGCCCAGCAAGGATAGAGAAAAGACAGCCACCTGCAAACCCGGAACAGAGCCCTCACTGAGCACCCTCTGCTGGGGCCCCCTGATCTGAAATCCAGCCTCCAAAACTGTGAGATGTAAATGTCTGTTGTTCAAGCCACCCAGTCTGTGCTATTTTTGTGATAGGTAGTTAAAACAGAAAACAAGTTTTGGCTAGGATGCTAAGAAATTGGGATTCTGGTGCATTGCTGGTAGGAATGTAAAATGGTGCAGCCACCGTGAAAAACAGCGTAGTGGCTCCCCCGAAAATTAAACATAGAATTACAATATGATCCAGCAAGTCCACCTTCAGGTATACACCCAAAAGAATTGAAAGCAGGGACTCAAAAAGATATCTGTTCACCATTGTTCATAGCAATACTATTCACAGTAGCCAAAAAAAGAGGCAGAAAGAACCCAAGTGCCCATGGATAAAAACAGGGCACACACATACGATGGGATATCATTCAGCCTTCAGAAAGCAGGGGATTCCCATCCAGGGTTATTTTGCCACGTGCAATGTGACAAACCTTGAAATGTGATGCTAAGTCAGGCACAAATGGACACCCCTTCTGTGACACCTACAACAGTCATGGTCACCAAGGCAAAGAGCAGAGGCAGCTATCACAGGGCTGGTGGGAGCAGGAGGGGCGAGCCGAGTGTGACGGGCACAGAGTTTCAGTCCTGGAGGGTGAAGCAGCTCTGGCCGCCCTGCACAGACCTGGGAATGTCATTACTGCTACCCTTTCTACATAGAAAAACTAGTTAAAACGCTAAACTTTGTTTTGTATATTTTACCACAATAAACACAAACTATAGCTCTCATTCCTATCTACCTGAATAAAGTTCTCGGAGAGGGGCGGTGTGAGAATCCAGACCTCTCCAATTTTTTTTTTAAACACCAGAGGTCACTCTCAAGGCAAAAAGACACCAGTCACTGGTGAACACAGCATTAAAGATGCAGGTCTAAGAAACCTAAAGCAAATTTAAATCGATTGCTCAGCAAAGCGTAAATCTCACAATCAGAAAGTGCCATGGTTGCCTGGCCCCAGCACCTACTGTCGGAGGGAAATCCCTTCCACAGTGTCCTTGGCAGACAGCTCCAATCACTCTCAGAGATATGACATTTGCCTGCTCTGTGCTTGGAAGCTTCAACTGTTCCTCCTTACATTAAGTTACATCTACTTCACTGCACATTGCACTTCGTGGACCGGTTCTACCCACTGGTGAAACACAGACGCCATGTGACTACTCTTTGACATCCTAAAATATTGCATATGTGTCTGAGCATCCCCTTCAGGGTCCATACATCCATTTCCCTCGAATTCTCTTCACAGGACTTGTTTTCTAGACCCTGCCTCATTTTGCCTCTCTTCTTGCAAATAGACTCCTGTGCCCCTTACATGCATCACTTTAAATCCAGTTTATTTAAAGACTGGTGCTGTCAAAGAGTTAAAGACTGCAAAAAGATACAAAGTCTTCAAATAGGTTCATAACTTTTGTTTAATTTCCCTCAATAACCCAAGCAATGGATACTGCAAATAAGTTTTTAAAGCACATTCTACAAAGAGCAGCCTTAGCTCGCTCAATGTCGAGGAGTGCACTCTAGCCCTACCTCCTGCTGTAACCAGGCAAGCAAACCCTTTTACAAATTAATTATTATTTTGACATTTGAATACAACCAACAGAAGTTTTTTCTTCACAAGCTGTTTATAGCCTAAGTTTTATAAGACTTACAAACCAAAGGGTATTTTAGGGTATAAATAAAGTAAAAATTAGCTATGCTTTATTCTATCTACTTATTATATGTGTAACATTTATAAATGTCAATAGAACAGGCACCAATGCAATGTTGGTAAAACTTTCCAGAATTAAAACAGAGATCAGACTCTTCTGAACACAGTAGAGCATAATAACTGACACTGATATTCCTGAGATAAAATAAAATTGGTTCTGCCTTTCAATATTAAAATGTCTTAATTATAGAATATAAATTTAAGATACAAAAAGAACATATCTTAAAGAATAACATTACTATTTACTCAGAAAGTCTAATAAATAATGACATCATATAACTGATTAAGTATTAATGGTACTTCTAAGCTTTTCTAAATTATAAATTCTGAACTTAGTTTATATCTTACACTTACACTTAAAATATCATTTTTAAACCCATGCATGTCATAAGTTTGTCAAAAAAGCAAATAAAAAATAAAGAATTCATATAATTCATATTTAAATTATCTTAAAATAGCACAAAATACTCATTTTACACAAGTTAAAATTATTTTACTTACAGACAGATGAACAAATAATTAAGACAGGCCCCAATGTCAGCAGGTATAACTTAATCAAAAGATAGATGTTTTTGTTTGTTCACTTATAATAACAGGTTTTTTTTAGAGAATGCAATGTTTTCCTCAATTTTGAGAAGTAAATGTATAGTATGAAAAAGTCACCATTTCATTATCTAGTTTGTAATCCACATTTATATATTTTAAGGTATACTATTAATTTCTTGTAAAGTTTAAAAAGACTTAAGATTGCTTTATGATACTTCATATATTATGCTACCTGTAAAACAACTACAAATTAAAATACCTAGTATTAAAAGAAGAATATGGTTATTAGAGTAATTTCATTTAAGATAAAATTAAAAAGGAATATATGTGTTGTGTGTGAGTGTGTGTGCATGCATAACTGCATGTCTGTGCATAAATATGCATGTGTGTAACTGCATGTATGAGTGTGTGTAACTATGTAGGAGCGTGTGCAGGTGTGTAACTGCATATGTGCACGTGTATGAGTGTGTGCGAGTGTAACTGTATGTATAACAGCATGTGTATGTGTAAGTGTGCACATGTGTAACTATGTGTGTGCACACATGTGTAACTGCATGTGTGCACATGTAACTGTGTGTGTAGGTGCATGTAACTATGTGCACAGTGTGTAACTGCATGTTTGCACACATGTATACGTGCATGCATGTGCACATGTGTAACTGCGTATGTGTGTGTGTGTGTGTGAGAGCACAGTTATCTCACCTCTGTGCCCTTTGGCTGGCTTTGCTGCTGCCCGTGGCCTCTTGTCACCAAGCCTTCTGTAGTGAGATTTGGAAAGGTCTGAAGATAAGGCTGGGACCCTGAGAAAGCCCCTTCTGCTGCTCCCACGGGGGCTGATAGTTTCTCTTGAGCGCCACTGTGCCCGGACCCAGCCTGCCCCGTGATGTGTTGACTTGGAAAGAACATTGACAGGCCTGTTCCAGCTGCTGCAGGTGTTTGAGTTGTAATCAGACTAGATGCTAGAGTGAACCACAAGTGCAAAAGGCTTTTAGTTAGGCAAGACTTATTTACAATACTCTTTTCAATTTTATTAAGTTATGGACAAAACACAGAGACAGAGAGATCAAAGTTGTACCTATAGTTAAACTCAAAAAGTAAGATTAGAGGTTATAAACTGGGAATTTCCTTTATGAAAAAACTAAAACTTACAATATTAATGATACTCTTATTTTCAACAACTTTCAGGATAATAACAAAATTAAATTTTTTAATTCCAAGTTTTAATTATATATTTTTTAAGTTGATAAAATTGAGAACAAAACTTATGTACTTTTTGGCATTTAAGTTATATCAGTGCTTTTTTTTTTATGCCATCATTGCAACTTTCCTGCTTCCACATTTAAAGGGAATGGTAAGTCTTTGATACTTAAAATTAATACACAAAGTTAACTGAAGGAATTCAGTCAGCCAGCTTGTATCAGTGCAGGAGAGTGACTGTGCAAATCTCTTCTCAATCCCTGACTTTAGGGTCTTCACACTGGTAACCTGGTGTCAGCCTTGGCTGGAGTACTCACACGTACAGATGTGTGAACTCGACAGAGCTAGGCTTTGTTAACTGGAGAACTGGCTGGCAAACACCACCACATCACTGTTGTTGTTTTTTTAATTTAATACATGAAAGTATTACATTTTTTTTTATAGGAAATAAAGAGAACATCTAAACAAAGATTTTAATGAGAAAATTCTAAACCATTCCACTTTGAAAAAATCTATGCGTCAAAATTAAATGAAAACAGCTAATTTTGATATCTAAATCATATTTATAGTTTACAAATACACAAGACAAAAAATTTCTTTAGTTATTTTAGTGCTAATCATTTAGAGATGGATACTCTAGTTCTCCTATCATTTTTAGCCATATAATTATTTGGCCACTTTGGATTTTTACTATTCTTAAAGCAACACATACTAAAGCAAACAGCTTATTATTTAATCCAATAAAAATAATACACAATTGCACAAGCTTATGCTCATAGAAAATTTAATTTTTGGAAGACTAGAATCCCATTCATACCACAAAAATTGACTGGTTTAATTTTGTCTGTGAATTTCAACACTTAGAATTGACTGAGATTATTTGACCACTTGACTATTTGCTTTTAGGGGTAAAAGGTTAAATGAACTACCCACATTGAACTGAATTTTCTTTCAAATTATATGCTAATTTTCACTTAGCATAATCACTTTAAGTAAATTTCAATTAAGCTTCAAACTGAAAGTGCCCTTCAAACTCACATTCAAATAAGAAATCTTAGCATAATACTGTGCTCCTGTTTTTCTAGGAAAAAAAATTGTTTTGTCATACTTTTTAGAAGTACAAGCACATATATTATTTTTCTTTAACTCCTAATTTGGAGATCATATTTTAAAGATAATACAAATAAATTAAATTTACAAATACTAAATACTTCTTCTCTAACAGCTAAGGGTTTCTCAGGCAGACAACATAAACGGACACACAGACCTGGCCAAGGTCTTCTGTGAGTCTTTGCCTTCACCTTGAACAGTTGTGAACCTGCATAAAACATTTATGCATATCCCACAGGGAAGTCTTAGTTTGGTGTGGAAGCAAGTCCATCAATAACTTGTCAGTATCAAAAATAGAAAAGGGTTCTTAAAATTTTAAATGATTAAATAAAACTCAAATTTGACCTTCCTGTAAATAAAAATAGAATATGGGTAAACCACCTTTAAATCTCAAACTGACTTCTCAGTAAATAACGCATCATTTACTTGTACGAGCTTCTCCCTGATGTCCCAGTTCCTTCTTCAGGGGAAGCACTGGCCCTATGCCCAGGGCAGTTTGAAGGACCACAGCTGGGGGGTCTCCAAGTAAGCCAGGTTTCTACAAAAGAAGAGAAAACATGAAGGCTTTTGCCCACACCAGTAACACGGAACCTAAGGAAAACCACACATTAGGAAAATTCACAGACAAAGTTACCAACAGCCTGATTCTAGAAAAAGAATAAATTGATTTCAAAAGAAAAAAATTATACCACACTTACATTATTGATGTGAATATTCTCAAACTTCACCAACTGCTGCTGGGCCAGTGGCACTCGAGAAAGGTTCTGGAGGAGTAAACGGGAAGTGCTACCCACAGCTGAGCTCTGCAAAAGGGTGAAACATTAAGTTAATTTTGAAACTAACTTAATTTTGAACCTAGCTTTTAAAAATTTATACCTGTTGTATAACCCAATTCATTTTAAAGTTCAATTCTCCAGGTTCTCTGAGGGAAAGCAACAGAGCTATCTTAACATAATATTTCACTTTTTCGGGCAAAGCTAACTGATCCTTTCAATGATATGCAGGGAGTGGCCAGCAGTCCTGAGACTGACTCCTAGCTCTTTCCTCCTGGTACCTTCCTCCTCCCTCTCACCCCTTTTCAGTTTTACTGCTGGTAACGTTCTGCTCACTCACTGAAGCATCTGAGGGAGGTTCACCGAGCACATTTTGTCTCAGGCCCCGTGCTGCTCAGTGAGAGACATGGTAACACCATCTGCCTTCCCGGATCTTACAGTCCTGAGGAAGGGAGACATGAATTAATTGTAAAACCTACATTTACAAATAGCAAGAGAAGAGTTCCTTGCAGAACTAATTCTTCCACTGAGATCTGAAGGCTGTGTAGAAATAATGAGCTGAACTCCAGGGGAATGGGTGGTGTTGGGGTGGGGAGTACTTGCTCCTAAAGATTTTATTTAAAAGTAAAATGCTCGTGAGAATTTTTGGTGTCAAGAAAAAACAAAATATTGGCTCCCAGTACATATTTGATGCTTCAGCACTCAATGTTACCTACACACCTGGTGTGCTTTATTCAGATGTAAAAACGCAGGAGAGATGGAGGGAGTCATCAGATGTGACAAGCTGTGAGGTGTTCCAAGAGCCGCTTTGAGAAAACACAAATAAACAGTGTATGAGATACATGGAATCAAAAATAAATAAGACAAGCTCCAAATCTGTTAGCAGTTCAGTAACAGAGTGACCCTGTCATTGGTCAATCCTGACTGGCTCCTTTCCTTGTGATTCAACTCTGGAAATTGTTTTAAAATTCCAACACCTTCTGCCATAGTTGTAAAATGCCAGACCTAGGCTTAATATCCTCTAATATTTGGTGAAACGAAACATATGAATCTTTTAGTAAGTACAGCACTAACTGAATCTATGTTATTTGTTCAGTGGTTTTTTTAATCTGTTTCGGGGATTTTGGCAGAGGTTGGTTGTAAAGGAGAAATAATTCCTGACCTTGAAAATTATACACAAAAATATTACAAAATAAAAACAGAACTACACACAAAGAAACAGGAATAAATGGTAACCACACTCTTAATAAGTCTAAGAGCCCCAACACGAGAGTATGTTTCAGAAGAGATGTTTTCAGAACACATAATATATGAAGCAAAAAGAACCATGAGGTAAAAAATATGTGAAGAAATTCCACCTAGTTATCGTAAAGTAGCTGGAAATAGTCATAACATACAAAATTATGTACAACAGATCCTCCATAGTTGACCACATCCTACACTGGCCTCTAGGAGGTCAACAGGAGGGATGAGCACCACCGGTGCTCAGTGGACAGAGGCTGCACCCACGGTGCCCGCCCTGTGTGCTGACCTGTGTGTTACAGTCCTTTGGGTGGTCACCTCCAGGTTCTACTGCATATACAATATTCAAAATACTTAGTGTCCTGAAAAGGTCCTGGTAATATTTTTTGTAATATAGATGTTGAAAAATAAAAAACACTTAACTATGAGAAGTGAAATAAATAAATAAATGAAATAAATCCTTGTTGCAACCAAATGTTTTAATATCTACCTTAGTCTACACTGGGACCTCCTTGGAGGGCAGCGTGATACAACATCTTGGTTTCAGGTACAGAATTCTATCTGCTAATCAACCCACAGGAAACCATGAACTCAATGATCTCTTTAGCACAGGGAAACATGGAGTGTGTGGGAGTGGAGCTGATGTTTAATTATAGCATAAACTTAGCCAAGTTGTGATAATGTGAGACTGTATGGAAGATGACCCTTTTAGAATTCTAATACTTACTTCAATGTGGAAAAAGGCATTTTAGGGAGAAAAATTAGTATACTGAAAGAATTCTCTTGCAAGCAATATGTTTGGGAATTAACTGTAGAAAATCAGAGAAAATATTACTTGACCTAAAAAGTAAGTTCAGCACAGCCTCTTTAAAAATGGTCATGGGAAAACTGGGATATCCAATCCCATATGCAGAGGTCTGATGATAACTTCTCTTACCATATACAAACATCATGTTGAAATGATTAAAGACTCAAAGGTAAGACCCCAAACTACAAAATTGCTAGAAGAAAACATAGGAGAAATGCTTCAGGACATTGTTCTGGGTGAAGATTTTATGGATCAAACTTCAAAAGTACAGGCAACAAAAGCATAAATAGGCAAATAGGATTATATCAAACTAAAGAGCTTCCCCACAGCACAGGAAGCCATCCACTGAGTTGATGGGACCATCTCTAAAAATGAGAGAAACTTTTGCAATCTATTGGTTAGCATACATGGAATATACATGGAACTCAACAGCAAAAAAACAAATAATCCAAATTAAAAATGGGCAAAATGTCTGAATAGACATTTCTCAAAACAAGACATGTGAATGGGCAAATATATGACATTGGTCAGCACCATTTAATCATCAAGGAAATATAAACCAAAACTGCAGAGAGATGTCACCTCACCCCAATTAAAATGGCTATATTAGAAAGACAAAAAAACAAAAATGTGTAGAGGATATAGAAAAAAAGGGAGCTCTCACACATTATCGGTGGGGATGTAAATTAGTACAGCTATAGAATTCTGTACTTGAAAGCAAGATGTTATATCACACTTGCCCTCCAAGGAAGTCCCAGTGTAGACTAAGGTAAATATTAAAACATTTGGTTACAACAAGGATTTATTTCATTTATTTATTTTGCTTCTCACAGTTAAGTGTTTTTTATTTTTCAACATCTATATTACAAAAAAAAATTACCAGAACAGTGTAGAGGCCCCTTAAAATATTAAAACAGTGCTACCACATGCTCCATCAATCCTGCTACTGGGTATATATCTGAAGGGAGGAAAATGCACACATTGAAGAGGTATCTGTGCCATGTTTTTGTAGCACTGTTCACAGTAACTGAGACAGGGAATCCACATAGTGTCCATCAACAGATGAATACATAAGGAAAGCCTGGCACATACACAGTGGAAACTACTGGGCCATAAGCATGAAGGAAGCCCTGCCATTTACAGCCTCATGGGTGAGCCTGGAGGACACTAAATTAAATTAAACAAGTCAGGCACAGATAGACAAAGCCTGCATGTTCTCACGCATATTTGGGAGCCGAAAAAGTTGAGTTCCTAGAAGTAGGAAGCAGAACTGGGGAGGCAGGGAAGGGCAGCAGGAGGAGAGGGTCGGGAGAAGCCGGTTGACAAACACAAATATGGCCACCCGGAGGGGCGAGGTGACACTCGGTAGACCTGAACCAACTGCAGGTAACAGTGGTTCACTGCATGTTTTCAAATTGCTAGAAGGCAGGATTCTGAATGATCCTAACACAAAGAAATAGTAAATGTTTCAGGAGACAGATGTGCTAATTACCTTTATTTGATCATTACACACTGTGTACATGTAACGTAACATCACTCTGGACCTATAAATCTGCATAATTATTACATTCCAATTAAAACATCTCTTAATTTTAAAAAAACAACTTAAGTAGAAGAGTTAATTCTTTTGAAATTCTGAAGTTGAAGTTCAAAGAATGGGAGAAGAAAGGAAAGAACAAGAAACAACATTTAGCATTTTTCAACAAAATAATTCTGTTAAAAATACTACATAGAAAAGTGTGACATCCTTTCTTGATAGAGGCTACAACAATGTAGTGTGTTAATTATTACTTGGACTATAAATTCATCTCATTTAAGAGCTGAAGGTTTAATATTTAACATTTATTAATAGTAAAAAAAAAAAAGAAAGAAAAGAAAAGAAACACATATGCGGGTTTTACCTATTGCAATAGTCAAAAAACATTAACACCTCAGATTAGTGATTAAAATTCATTAACAGGTCTTAGAAAAATGATATATGTTTAGACTAATTTAAATGTGCTTTTTCACAAGTAAATGTATTTTCCCACATCTCACATGTCAGGCAGCACCATGAAGTTCATACCAACATTCTAATTTAGTCAGTACACATGGGCTTACCTGGCTGGACAGCTCGCCCACACAGCTGGGGCTGTAGGAGAACCTGTAGCATGGCAGGATTGTTTAAACTCTTCATGATTTGCACTGGATTTGGCTCTGGAAGTAAGCCCTTCTGATTACTGTGCACCTTCAATGAATGCAGAAATATGGGAAGCATTGGAACAATCAGAAGTACAAAAGGTAACCTTTTACAGGCTTTCTTCCAGAAATTCTCATTTATCTGATAAGAGCTATTTTATAATAAAAGCACTATGATTTGCATATTTTATATGCTTTCTACCATAGTTCTTAATTATAATGTTAGATATGACCATAAGTATGACATGAAATCTTCATAGAATGTCTTAGTCAAATACCAACTGGCTTTAAAAGAACTGACAATTTCTTGCAATAAATCTCTTTATAAAATTCAAAGAGAAAGAGGACAAGGGAAGTTACTGACAGGGAGATAATTTGTTGACATGAGATGAACACAATGATATGACAGAACAGCCTCAGTGTAATGTTGAACTACAGTTTAATAATGTGGGTTACCCTATACTTCAAAGTTGTTATAATAAAGGTCTTTATTTCATTAACTTATTCCTCTGCTACAGGACTAACCACAAGACTGTCCTCACATACACGTAGTAATTGGGTAGCTTCCTAAAGATATGAAATTGTTTTTAGCTACAACAAATAGCTTCACAGATGAGGATATTAAAATAATGATACAAAAGGAAGACTAAACTTCCAGCCACATAAAAATAGAGAACTGAAGAAGACAACTGGATCCCTCTTGCAATCTACATACTGAGAGGCAGAGGATGATGGATCTGAGAGACTTACAGAAAGCGGGGGCAGGGGGTCCCCAGAGGAGACAGAAAGTGTGAAGGTGAAGACCAGCCAGGACACAGGAGAGCCCCAATCTCCACACAGGCTGACCTGTGGGAGGGCTTCTCAGCCAGGACACAGGAGAGCCC